TTGATCATTTACTGGGTACAATTTTCCCTATGCATTTGGGGTGTACTGATTACATTCCCTAGCTATGTGTGAAAACAATTTCCACTACCAGGCCTCTTTTCCTCTCTCCTATCTGGCTTCCTGCAATTATCTTTATTGACAGGCATTTTGGGCAGTGTTTAGAATCCAGACAAAGGCATTTTGTTTAAGACATTTCCAGATATCCAAACATAGAATTATTATATGCCCAAAGCTGTTGATTCATAGCTGCTCAGATATATAGAAAAAAATCAGCATGCCCTGGTTTTACCTCACTTATAGATAAGGAAAGCGGTGACCTAAGACTAACCTTGCATTATACTCACCTTCACCTCAGTGTACGGATGATCTTAGCTCAGGAAACGTACTGCTTGTGTTCTACTCTCAGAGACAGCAAGAAAGACATTCTTCTCACTGGCCCCATAGACCCACACAGCCAAGGATCAGAAAGACTAATAAGTATCAAGCCCCAGATCTGATCATTTAGAGGTTTGGGTCTCCTTTATGCTTCAACCACTTAGAGCAAAGGTGTCAACTTCAGATCTAAAAGGCCCTGAGAACTTGCAACATCTGGCAAATGTGCTAATGGATCAAGGGCCATAGCTTCCCATTTGTTTATGTAGGTTGCCTGGTTACTCGGTACTCTCTATGCATGATGGGGGGACAAAAGCAGAGCACTGAATAAAAAGACAATCTTTGCCTTCCTTGTGATTTTACTGAATATAAACTTCTTAGCTCTTTATTCTAACCATCTAAAAATATAGCGTAGCACACTAGTCTTCCCTTCTAGAATTCCCTGATGATTTAATCTCCTCCTTAATTAACCTTAAGGGGAGGGGAGGGACACATGTTCACTAAGCCACTCCCATCTTTGAGCTGACAGTCATGGCTCCGTGTGTGTGTGCGCGCGTCATTTATGTCCTATCTGTCTTTTATGGCCCTAAAGAATTCCAGTCCTGGACACCACCCACCCCTGGCTGGGAAATTGCTGGTTGATAGGAGTGTAGAAACTGCAGTATGCAACTTCATATGGAAAAGCAAAAACCCCAGGATAGCCAAAACAATCCTATACAATAAAAGAACTTCTGGAAGCATCACAATCCCTGACTTCAAACTCTACCACAGAGCTACAGTACTGAAAACAGCCTGGTATTGGCATAAGAACACACAGGAGGACCAATGGAACCAAATCGAAGACTTGGATATTAATCCACACACCTTCAAATACCTGATTTTTGACAAAAAAGCAAAAAATATCAAGTGGAAAAGATAAAGCATATTTAACAAGTGGTGCTGGCATAACTGGATATCAACATATAGAAGAATGAAAATAGACCCACATCTATCACCATGCACAAAACACAAGTCCAAAATGATCAAAGACCTCAATATAAAGCCATCCACACTGAACCTTATAGAAGAGAAAGTGGGAAGTACACTTGAACACATTGGCACAGGAGACCACTTCCTAAATATAACCCCAGCAGCACAGACAGTGAGAGAAACAATTAATAAATGGGACCACCTGAAACTGAAAAGCTTCGATAAGGCAAAGGACATGGTCAAAAAGACAAAACGACAGCCTACAGAATGGGAAAAGATCTTCACTAACCCCACATCAGACAGAGGTCTGATCTCCAAAATATACAAAGAACTCAAGAAATTGGTCATCATAAGATCACATAATCCAATAAAAAAAAATGGAGTACAGACCTAAACAGAGACCTCTCAACAGAGGAATCTAAAATGGCTGAAAGACACTAAAGGAAATGTTCAACATCCTTAGTCATCAGAAAAATGCAAATCAAAACAACTCTGAGATTCCATCTTACACCTGAAAGAATGGCCAAGATCGCCCCATGCCTTTAATCCCAGCACTTGGGAGGCAGAGGCAGGTGGATCTCTGTGAGTTTGAGGCCAGCCTGGGCTTTAAGGGCTAGTTCCAGGACAGACATCAAATCTACAGAGAAACCTTGTCTCAAAACAAAAGAGAGAGAGAGAGAATGGTCAAGATCAAAAACACTGATGACAACTTATAGAGAGGTTGTGGGGAAAAGGGAACACTTCTACATTACTGGTGGAAATGCAAGCTAGTACAGCTCCTTTGGATGTCAGTGTGGCAATTTCTCAGAAAATTAGGAAACAACCTTCCTCAAGACCCAGCAATACGACTTTTAGGTACATATCCAAAGGATGCTCAATCGTGCCACAAGGACATGTGCTCAACTATGTTCATAGCAGCATTGTTTATCACAGCCAGAACCTGAAAACAACCTAAATGCCCCTCAACAGAAGAATGGATAAGGAAAATGTGTGGTACATTTACACAATGGAGTACTTCACAGCAGAAAAAAATAATGACATCTTGAATTTTGCAGGCAAATGGATGGAACTAGAAAACATTAGTTTGAGTGAGGTAATCCAGACCCAGAAAGACAGTTATCACATGTACTCACTCATAAGTGATTTTTAAAAATAAAGCAAAGAAAACCAGCCCACAAATCACAATCCCAGAGAACCTAGACAACAATGAGGACCCTAAGAGAGACTTACATAATCTACATGAGAAGTAGAAAAAGACAAGATCTCCTGAGTAAATTGGGAGCACGGGTATCTTGGGAGAGGGTTGAAGGGGGAGGGGGGAGGCAGGGAGGGGAGCAGAGAAAAATGTAGAGCTCAATAAATATCAAAAATAATAATAAAAAAAAAGGATTCTAGTCCTGGACAGCCCCGGGCTGGGAAATTGCTGGTTGTTAAGAGTGTATAAACTAGAAGCATTTGCAGCAGAAAAAGAATAAAGAGACATGCTAAGGAAAATTGTGTGAGTTAATCTTTTTTTTCCCTCAGATCTTCTTAGTTAATTTCCTTTGCTGGATGTAGTGCCTTAGCCGGGCCTTGAAGGAGTCTGAGCCCCTGATTACGGTGCATATCTATCAGAACCAAGGGTTCACCCCACCCCACGTTTTCTGTATGCGTGTCTTCATTCCTCATTACTCTAGCCTGGTCAGTCCCAAAGTCATACACGTCGTGGCACGGCTTCTTCAGGGATCTATGTTCCTGAAAGTCAAGGACAGCTTGGTGTTTGGGCACCTAGTATGCAGGCAGCCTCGTAAAGGCCTTGGATGGGGCGGGGACCAGGTTCTGGCAGGGCTACTTCATTGGAAGTGGTGGAGCAGGGTGAGGGGATATGAGATGCAGTACTAGGCTCCTGTTCTAGGAGGCTGAAGAACATTAAGGTCAGTCAAGGGCTCAAGTAGCCTGGGCTGCGATGGATGGAGTGTGCCATGCTGGCCACTGTCCCTTATACTGGACACTCATGCGGAATGTTGGAACAGAACGTTACAGCTCCAGCCCCGAGTCAGAATGAGCTCCGCTCAACCTCCCCGTGTACCACCGACCTTGCCCCTTGGTCTCCTCATCTGGAAAAGTGGGAGCCATGGAACTGGCTACCTCATTCTTGCCGCTGCCGCAGAATGAAGAACGTGGTGTGACTTTGCCTAGGATAGGATCTGGAGCATGGCACTGGATACATTCATAGTGTATGATATCCATCTTCATATCACAGAACCTTGATGAGTGAGCTCAGAGAGGGCGGCCATCAAGCCGAGGACACAGAGCAGGCAGGTGGCAGAGCTGGGAATGCTTGCTCTTGGCCCCTTCCCCAGGCTGCCTGTGTGTGTTAGCTGCAACTCCAGAAAGGGTGGATGGTGGAATAGAGGCAACTTCGTCGCTGAAAACTCAGAAGGGTGGATGGTGGAATAGAGGCAACTTCGTCGCTGAAAACTCAGATCTGCTCTTATCCCACAGACATTCCCGGGGCACCTTCCAAAGTCTAAGCAGTATGTCCTTGGTAGATACAGATAAGTGTGCATCGGAGCAGCAGGGAGCCATGACTCAAGAGTGTCTGCTTCCTTGTGAGACAATTAATTCCTGAGTACCACTTGGTTGGGGTAGAAATGAAGGGTGAATGAGCATGGGGAGGGCTAAGAAGGGGGGGAGGGAGGAAGTGAGGAAGGGAAGGAGGGGAAAGGGAAGAGCAAGAAGAGGAGTGGGAGGAGAAAGGAGGGGGGAGAAGGAAAGAAAGGAGGAAGAGAAACAGAGATGTAGGGAGGGAGGGGGAGGGAGGGAGGGAGAGAGAGAGAGAGAGACTACTCCACTACCTAGTAAGTAATAGCACTGTTGAGATTTTTTTTTTTTTTTTTTTTTTTTTTTTTTGAGACTGGGTTTCCCTGTGGCTTTGGAGCCTGTCCTGGAACTAGCTCTTGTAGACCAGGCTGGGCTCAAACTCATGTGCACCGCCACCAACGCCCAACATCACTGTTGGGATTTTTTATGTCTAGCCTTCAGTGCTCTGGTACATACTGGGCATGTCTCTGTAGAGACCAACCACAGTTCCTGTGGTCTTGAACTTCCCCAAGCTCCTGTTGAACCTACCCAGAGGTGATGAACCCTGGGGAAATTTCCACTTGAGTTTTTATTTCCCTTCAGTCATACAAAGAAACAAAGTATCTGGGAGACGTGGCCACAGACTAAAGGGTAAAAAAAACCTTGGTCTTCAAGCTCAAGAGGGAGCCTGCTACAGCCCAGAGCACTTGGTTAGGGAACAAGATCTCCAGTCCAGGAATCTCTGGCCTCAGAACTCAAGCCTGTTCGGCCTCGGAGCCTCATTTCCCAGGCTCACCAGGGCTGTGTGGTCCAAGAGAGAGGGACAACAGCAGGAATTCAACTTCCCCAGCACCAGACCCAAAAATCAGACCAAATAGATGCTCTGGAAGCAGCCCCAGATGGGAGCCTAAGGTTCTCTGTTGGCGGCGGAACTATCTCATTGGGGGCTGTGATACCTAGGCCCAGGGTTCATTTCTCAGAAATGTGAAGAATTTCTCATGGTAGAGTCACAGACCACAGACCCTAGGGAAGGTGCCGAGGAGGAAGGACAGGGTCCCTGCAACTCCTGTTGGCTTGACTCCTGGTCCTTCACTTACCTCTAGCTTGGCTTCAGCAAAAGGCGTAGCCCTCATCATGTGCTGAGGTGTGATCCCGCTGACTCTGGTTCTATAATCGGTGATCACGCCCTCTGGCCGGATGTATTTGTCGTACAGAACTGCGCCATAGAGGTTCACGATGCTGCAGCGGGCAAGGCCACTCACCATTTGGGGCCCTACGCCCACCATCTCGCAGTCTATGGCCACCACCTCTGGGCTGCCTGCCATGTTCCTTGGCGACCCTCAGAAAGTCCTGGAGGATGGGTGGGGGTGGGCGACCAGGGTGTCATTCAAGTACCCACAAGCCTCCAGGCATCCTGGGCCACCACCCTGCCAGACTACACCCTCAGCCCTATTCTTTGTCCCCAATGGCACCTGGCAACAGGGGACGCTGGCCTCTTATCACCCTTCAGCTTCTCGGTGCTGAGGTGCCAGGCCCTGCTGGTCCTGTCTGGCTGTCCCACCAACAAGCAGCCCCCTCCCTCTGCTTCCCAGACTGGGCTGCTGTGGGGTTCCTGTTCTCACCTGTCTGCTCCCGTGCCCGAGTTCTCTTCGGCCTTTTTGTTGTCACCACTCGGTTACTGCAGTTACTTTGGGAAGTGACTCATCTCTAACTTGAGCCTCTTTTAGTTTCAGTTTCTGCTTTGTTATCAAGGGAAGTCGGGGAAGGGGGCAGGCCTGGTAGGCTGGGCTGCTTCATCCCCTCAGGCTAGCAGGTGGGGGGCCAGCCAGCAGGCGAAATCAAGGGCTGGTTGCCTCAGGGTGTCCCTCCTCTAGCCCTGCCCTCCTCCCTTTCAGATGACGTGTCTGTGTCTGACGTGGATGGAGTGGATTGCAACATCTTTCTTTTTCACCCTCCACCCAGAGAATAAACATCCCCGGGATGGGAGCCCGAGGAATGTCCTACAACTTCTGGGATCTGCTGTCAGAGGGATAACCTGTGAGGTCTTCTGAGGGCAGAGCAAGCCGGTTCTGAAACAGTGGGTTATGAACTGGGCAGGGCAGGAGAGTGGTTGGATAGGAGGGGGCAGGTCTCTGGAATCTGCCCCAGTGAAGGTAATGGAGGCTGTGGGTGTGGCGTGTGTGTGTGGGGGGGGGGGGGGGG